ACCAGTATTTTTATTTATAGACAAAAAATATAATATAGAAGGAATATTTATTATATTTTAATAGTTTTTTAGCTTATGTTATTCAAGAAGATCCTATGAATAATAATAATTATAATTATTTTATTGAAAATATTTTGATATTTATATATTTTTATTATTATATAAAATAATTTTATAATTATAAAATATTTTTTAAGCTTTTTAAAATAAATATATAGGATTTTTACAATAAAAAGAAGAAAACTGCTGAAAAAATAAAAAATGAATTAATACTAAATTTGAACATATTTTAATCTAAAAATCATATTTGATATATAAAAATAAAATTGATTTTTTCTAGCAGTTTCCTTTCTTTTTATTGCAAAGATCCTATATATCCAGATTTTTATAGTATTCTAATACATAAAAGATAACATATTCTTAATATTAATAATACAAAAGTGATGTAAATTGAATACTTATTTGATTTTAATTCAGTAATTAATATTTAAATTTAAACTTTATTTGTAAATTATACTTAAAATTTTTTATATTTTATTATATAATAAAACAATTATTTTTTATATAAAAAACCATTTACATCAAAATTACAAAATTAAAGTTAGATTGAATCCATGTAAAATCCCATTCAAGGTTTAGATTTAGTATGTATGATGGTTAACAAAGATTTATTTAAAGCTTATTTTGAGTATAATGGAATTATATTATTAAAAATTATAATAAATTTTAATTTCTTTTAAATCAAGAAAATTTAAAAGCAATTTTTTAAATATATGTTTATGGATTATAATAAAATAGGAATATTAGAATTAAATTAATTTTATTAAATAATATAAAATAATAAAATATTATTATTAAATATTTGGTTTTTTTCAATATCAATTCATAAATTTATATATAATTTCAAAAAAAAAAAAATTTCAATCATTTGTTCTAATAAAAAAACATTTTCATCTAAATTAAATAAAGATTTAGTAATAAACCTTTATCTTTAGAAGGATTTGTTAAAAATACAAATTTAATAAGATTTTAAAAAATCATTTTTTTAGTTATTTAAATATTTGACTTATATAGAAACATGTTTTCAAATCAATAGCAATTAAACTTGACTTTGAATATTTTGATAATATAATAGAAATTAAAGAAATTATAATTAAAATTGTATCTTAAATAAGTAAATAAATTAATATTACAATTAACTAATTAAAAATAAAATTTACTTGTATTAATTTATTACCATTATAATTTTTTAAAAGTTTTTTAGAATTTGAATAATGATATTTAACTTATCAAAAATATTAATTAATAGAGAATAAATAATATCTACTCTATTAATATTAACAATCTAAAAATATAAAAATTTATTATTTAATTAAAAATTATATTTAAAATATTATAATTTTAATTTTTTACTATTGCTCTTATTTAAATTATAATCATATTATTTAATTTAAAATGATGTTAATTATTTGTAATTAAATAACCTTGAATATTTTGAATATACAATTTATATTTAAGAAGATTTTATATATTTCTAATTTGATAGCATTCAATTGTAAATTAGAAAAAATAGCTTAATATATTAAAATTAAAATATTTTATTAAAATATAAATAAATAAATATTATAAATAATACATAGAAAATAAAGATTACACAAATATTTTTAGAATAGATTCTTTAATATCATTTTTAATTACATAACTTTCACATATTATTTGTTTTCTTTTAATTTATTTAATAGCATATAATAATTATTTTTATACTTTTCACATTATATAATAAAATGCAATAATAGAATTATTAGATTTTAAATCAAAATAATCTATTTTAATGTTAATTTTTTAATAACATATATAATTAAGTTCCATTTTTTCCTATTTTATCAGAAAAGTATAAGATCAAATTTCTTTTTTTAAATTGATCAAGTTATTTAAGTTATTTAAATCATAAAGATATTAATTGCTTTACCAAGTTTTTTCATGATTATGTAAATTTTTCAAAAATACTAAGATAATATATCCTAAATATAAATAATTAATAATTAATAATTATAAATATAATATTAATAAATAAAAATTATTACTTATATAATTTAGTATATTACTTAATACATTTAATTTTAGAATAAAATTGTACTTTTTAAATTAATATAATTTTCTTTTTCAAAAATCACATTTGTAATATTTTGTAATTGGAATTATACTTTTTTTATAACTTATCAATAAAATTTGAATAAAATAAAAGTAAGATTAGATTATATTAATAAATATAAAATAATAAACTTAAAAATAAAAAGTATATATAGGAGCTTTACAGTAGAAAGTGAGAAAACTCTAAAAAAAATTTTTTTTAAGATAATATTAAATTTGTATTTATTTAACTAAAAAAATCATATTTAGCTTATAAAATAAAATTTTAATTTTTTTTAGAATTTTCTCCCTTTTTATTGTAAAGCTTCTATATATCTTTATTATATTATGAATCTACTTATACAATTATTACAAATATTAATATTATTTAGTAAAGGTAATAATAAAAATATAATTTTTTATTAAGAAACCAATCAACAAATTCTAAATTTATTACAGTTTACCCTTCTTATAGCAAATTTTTGTATAATGAATAATTCGTTATAATAAAGAAAAGTTCAGGTACAAATTTTTTTATAAATAATAAATCTTGATATAATAAATTTTTATAATAAATTTCTGTAACTTGTAACTTGAATTTAAATTCTAAAACCAGTTTTAATAAAATACACTTGATATAATGAAGACTTTTACTATAACAAATTTTTAAAATGTTACACAATTAATTTATGAATTTTTAATCATATGAAATTTATTTATAAAAATTGTAATTTGAATTTGCTTTAAAAAGGAAAGATATCATATAATAAAAATAATCCTCTGATTCCTTTTCTTCACACGCTAACTCAATTATGCTTAAAACTCAAAATACAAAATTTCACATCCTCAAATAACTATAGGCAAAGGTAAAATATTCCAAGAAATAACTTCGCTAAAAAGAGCTTCCTTATCTCTTGCCAAAAAAACATGAAATATGTCTTAAAAAAATCACTGAACCTTTTATAAAAAATAAAGAACTAGCAAAATTGTTTGATGTTAGTAAAGAATGTATCAGTAATATGTTAAAAAGTAACTTGAAATTGATCTTCAAGTACTTAAAGCTAAAGGCAAAAAACAAATTAAGATGATATTTCCAGAAATTGAAGAAGCACTTACATTATGAGTATTAAAAGCTTTGGAAAATAGTGTTAATATTAGTGATCAAGTTTTACATGAAAAAGCCATGATGTTTGTATCTCTATATAAGATCAAAAATTTTAAAGGAAATAATGGTTGGATTGAAAAATTTAAAAAAAAAACATAATCTATCTTGTTATTTAAAGTAAGAAGAAGCTGTGAGTGTATCGCTTGAAAAATTTGATGAATTTAGAAAGAAGCTTCAAGATTTGATTTGTGTATATAGTCTTGATGATGTTTTTAATTGTGATGAAATTGGTCTGTATTCGAAAATAGAACCTAAAAGAACGATTTCCAATACACTTGTATTTGGACGAAAACAATCAAAAGATCAGATAAAAATTCTCCTTTGTTCTAATATAACTTATACAGAAAAGCTTAAACTAGCGTTTATTCATAAATACAAAAACCTCATCCCTTATAAAACTTACCTAAGTCATCTTTATCAGTAGAATATTATTAGAATGTAAATAAAAGCTTGAATGCAGGTATCAATCTGAAACGATTGGATTCTTCAGCTTAATGCAATGATGAGATTAAAAGAAAGAAAATTTCTTTTTCTTATAGATAATTCTCTTATTCATGCTTTGTATAAAGGTGTAGAATTAACTAATATAAAAATTAAGTTTTTACCTCCTAACACAATTGCATACCTACAACCATGTGATAAAGGTATTATCAATAACTTTAAGATAAATAACTAAAAATTTTAATGTAATTTTTAATATAAAATTAACTTACTGTATTTGTATATTATAAGCACACTATCAAAAATTGCTTCTTCAAAATCATATCAAAGCCTTTGATTTTTAACAAGAAACTAGTAATAGTAAACTACCAATTAATATCAAAAAAGCTATTAAGTATGTGATATCAACTTGAAATAAAGTTCTTCCCAAAACTATATTTAACTGCTAGAAAGATGCAGGAATTTTATCACCAGACGATACAGAGTTTCAAGATAAAATAAAAGAGAATAGACATGAAGAAATAAAAGAGAATGAATGTGAAGAAATTCAAGATTTAATTAATAAACTTGAATATACATATCTCCTTACTGCTGAAGAGTATATTAGATTAGATCAAAAGAATAAAATTGATGGTGAGATACCAACTAAAGAACAGATTGTTGCTATTCTTAAAGAAAATAATTCCATTTTTGATGATGAAAGAGATAGGAAAATTACTTTAGTATCTAGATCTGAAGTTTTAGATAAAATTTTTATCTATTTAGAATAAAATAAAAATCAAGATATTATTGATAAAAGTGTTTTTTAGGGATGTTAAACGGTCCCAAATGATTATAAACAAATATTGAAATTACGAGTTATAGAAAAGTCTAATCGCTTATCTATAATAAGTAACCCTTGATAAATAATTATAATAATAAATTTTATGAATAACTTATAAAAGAAATATGAATTTTAGAATCGACAATTAACATAGAATCGCTAAGGTAGGACCCCATTCTTAAGACTGAGTCCTAAGTTTCAAAAATTAAGATTCTGGGTTTCTGCATAAGTTTAATATATATTTTTAATTTATATTCAATTAAAAAATTATCATTAGAAACTAAAATATAATACCAGTAAAATAAAAATCTTCTCTAGAATTGGCAAATTTATTGGGACTTTTAGGACTGTTTAAGACTGTTTAACATCCTTAGTATTTTTAAAGCTGTGAAAAAAACAAGGAGGAAGATTTATAGAAATAATTTTTTTTTAAAAAAGTAAATGAGTTTGGACCTGTTTGTTAAATCTAATAACAGTGTTAACAGTACTGGTAATAATAATATGAATAGAGAAGGGGTTAAAGATAATATTATGAACATTGATAAAATTAATTTTAAAACTTTATATTTTAATGAAAAGGACTTTTATAATTATGAAGAAGAATATGAAGGTTTTATTGAGTACCAAATTGATCAGAATAGTCTTTATAGATGATTATATTACAAATTTGCATTTATTATACTTAATAAAATAATAATCTTTGATGTTACAATACAAATATAAATGTGCAAGTTTACAAAAAAACAAAGAAAATTTATTTTATTACATGTTTTTTAAAATATAAATTATTGCTTAGTCATTGTAATTATCATACATCATGCAATTATAAGACTTTTCAATATAGCGAAATTCTTATCTTTATTCGCTATATGTGATTAGTGAATTCTCTTACTATAGTGAATTTTGATCTTCAGCCTGAGGGGTTCACTATAGTAAAAGGTGAACTGTATTTTACAATATCTTTTTATAAAAGAGATTTATAACAAAATTTACTATATAATCACATTTAACTTTTTTCTTTTTCTATTTATATTCTTGCTTAGTAAGGTTCCTTAAAATTGAACTGAATCGAATATAAAATAATTTTTTAATTTTTACAATGATATATTAAAATAAGTAATTCTAAAGTTTTATTTAAGAAAATTATTAGTAATTATAAAAGATTTTTCAAAAATAGCTTTTATAAAGTAAGTTTAGTAACAGGTAAATTTTTACTATTAAAAACTTAGTAAAACAACTTCAGTGCTTCAGTTTTACTAAGAAAACTTAGTAAAAATAACTCTACAGTCTTAGTTTTATTAATAAAAGTTAATAATAACTACTATTGTGACTTCAGAATCATTTTATTAGTAAAAAACAGTTCTGAAGCGCAAATGCATTTTTTACTAGATTTTTTAATAAAAAAATATTTCTAAAGATGTGAAGGTGATTTATACTATATTTTCTTAATAAAATAAAGTCTCCAAAATCACAAAAGTATTTTTTACTAGTAAAATAATGTTTCTGAAGTTGCAGAGTCATTTTTTACTATGTTTTCTTAGTAAAATAACGTTTTCAAAGCTGTAGAGGCGATTTATACTATATTTTCTTAGTAAAAAATATTTTTAAAGCTGTGAAGGCATTTTTTACTATGTTTTCTTAGTATGTTTCTGAAACTGTAATGGCATTTTTACTATATTTTTCTAGTAAAATAATGTCTCTGAAGTAACAAAAACATTTTTTACTATGTTTTTCTTAGTAAAAAAGCATTTCTAAAGCTGCGAAGACACTTTTTACTATAGTTTTCTTAGTAAAAACTACTACTAAAGCTTTGGAGATGACTTTACTATTGATTTGAATCAAATCAAATATTTGAATACTTGATTTGAATTTGATCGAATCAAATCAAATATTCAAATATCAAATCGAATTGCAGAATCCTATTACTTGGTAAGTATATTTTTGATTATATTCATCTTGACAATTTAAGTAAATTAAACAAATAAGATAAGAGTTTAAATGAAAGTCTAAGATATTATATTTGTTAAAAAAATAAAAGTAATATAAAATACTAAATACAAAAATCTAATTAATAGTTACACATATATAAAATGTTATGTATTATTATGATTTTTAATTTATTAAGTATTTGATAATCTGATAATCTAGTAAATACTTAGCTAAAAAAAATTATTAAGTGTTTTATTATTATAAAAACAGCTATAGCTTCAAAAAAAAAATGCTATTAAAATATTAAACTTTAAATAAAAATGTTACAAGTATATAAACTTTAAAGAAAATACTTTCAGAATATTAATTTGAAAAGCATTTACCTTAAAAAAATGTTACCAGAATATTTACTTTAAAAATAGTATTTTCAAAATAATAACTTTAAAAAAATATTACTAGTATATTAATTCAAAGAAAAAATTTATTATAAAACTTTATATTTGAAAAATATACACTAATATTATTTCTTGAAAAAATATATTTTTATAGCAATTTTTTTTTCAAAGTTATATTCTGATAATACTTTTTATCAAATTTAATACACTAATAGTGTTTTTTTTTAAATTTAATGCTTAATAGCATTTTTTTAAAGTTAATACTTTATTAGATTAATATTTTAAAAATATTTTTCTTTAAAAAAAATGCTTTGATAATATTTTTTCTTTGAATTTATACTCTAGTAGCATTTTTAAGATAATGTTTTAAAAGTATTTTTCTTTAAAAAAAATACTACTATAACATTTTTCTTCTAATGCTTTAAAGCATTTTTTTTCAAAAAATACTTTGATAGTATTTTTTTTTTTGACTTTTATGCTTTAATAGCATTTTTTTCAAAGATAATACTTTAAAAGTATTTTTCTTTAAAAGAAATGCTTTTGTAGTATTTTTTTTAAGGTAAGTACTTTGAAAGTATTTACTTTTCAAAAAAAACATTTTGGAGATATTTCTTTTCAAGAGAATTAAATTATTTCAGAAATTTTCTTTTAAAAAAAATCTTTCTGGAGTTATTTTTTTTATAAGAAATTATTTGAAGGCAATTTTTTTTTTTGAAAAAACTATTTGAAAACTAGTATCTTTGAAGGAAATTTACTTTTTAAAATACTTTAATCATTCTGAAATATATTTATAGATTTTATTAATAATATAAACCATATAAATCAAATAAGTTAATTTATATAACTCATAAGCTGATTCAGCTTATCATATTTTTGACTCAAGTCAAGCTAAGCTGAAATAAATTAACTCAGCTCAAGCTGATTATTAAGCTAGCTTAAATTAGCTTATATAAAACTTAACTTTTATAATGAAAATTACTTTTTTTAAAATAATAATATTTGCATTTATTAAACTAAAGATATAAAAGTATAAATTCAAAATAAAAATTTAAAATATATCCAATTAATCATTTTAATCTTCAAATTTGAATCTAATTAATACTTATAAAAGAAGCTTAATAAAAGTTAGAAAATGTCTGTAATATTCTAAAAATGTATTAGAATTAGAAGTTGCTTTATAAGAAAAATATATGAAAATTCCAAGTACTTATTTTAAAAAGTTAGTCAAAAGAATACCAAATAAAATAAAAGAGTATATATATTAAAATGAAAGTCTTATAAGTTGTTAAATATAAGAAAATTTATAGGAAATTTTTAATAAAAAATATATTTTTTAAAATAGTGTATATAGAATGATAAACCCAACATATTATATATGTCTATTTTATCATATTTGTCTAATATGTTTAATATATTAACTTTATCAACTATATATGAAAGTTTAATTAAAACCCCAAAGTTAAAAAAAAAATTAAAAGACTAATAATATGACCTTGTTAAAGTTACTGTGCTACAAATTTAGCATTATTAACTTTTTCAACATTTTTACTTTATTATATTTATTATTACTTGTATCTTTATCATTTATTTTATCGTTCTTAATATATAACGTAGCATTAGTTATAATACTATGCTTTCTCTTCAGTTGGTACTTAAAGAATAAATAGACTTTATTGCCTCATTTGCCACATATTACATGTCAAAGGGGTAGTCTACGAAAAATTACAATTATTAGTTTTTTTTAAAATGTAAGTTTGCATAAGTTTACATATAAAGTTGCGTAAGATTGTATAAAATTATAAGACTGACATAAGATTACACTTACTTTGCTATTAAATCGAGTTACGAACATTGTAATCATAAGATCCGTAACGTGATTTTAATCTGCCCAAATGAAACAAGGTCCTTGGATGGTTGTTGAAGACACGGAAGCCGGAAGAATACACGTGATTAATACCAAATTTTTATTATTGTCAATAACTTTATGAAGCTTCCAACCGGATAAGTTATCTATCCTCTTCAGGTATTGACCGAGAATTGCGATTGCTAACCTCAGGATAAAAATACCATTTTAAAATTGCAGACTTGTAATAAAGTATCATTGGTTATAAAAAATAAGATTATTGGTCCAAAACATATCAATAATTTTTTTAAAGTCCGACATCTCCTAGATCAATTAATCAAATAATAACGTAATACAAATAAATGTTGTTTGCTTAGGTATAGAAAAAAGTAAATATCTTTGGGTATAATGCGTTAATCCTACATTACATTATCAACCAAAATAATGGCTTTTGCAAGCATGAAGAAAAGATGGGAAATGGTTTGTGTTTATTATGTCAAATTAATTAATTATATTGTCAAATTTAATAAATAAAGCTTATTTTGCTAATTTGCTTAACAAAATCGATCGTACAATTGATAAAGACGCAATATTAAATAAATTCATATAAATCAGGAACTTTTGGTATTGGGGGTAGAAATCTAAGGAAGACAAAAAGAAAATTAAGAACATTATTAACAATATGGAAGATAAAGTCCAGTGGAATTTAATGTTATTGTAATGCTACTCATGGTATCAATTTGTTGAAATGATACTAATTGCATTGACTTATGCTTAATATAGACAAGATCGAAATTAATCCTTTCATCACATCATATATGATTTATTTATGGTAATAAAAACTTATCTTTATGGCGTCCCGACCATAAAAAGTAACGCCAGATTTCTTCTCTATCAAGAAGCTGAATCTTATAAAAAAGAAATTATATATTCACTTGGTATTCCAGATTGGTTATAATATGACCGACTGGTTATTACCTAATAAACGATTTACTATAAATATTAGTCATTGTTAAAAATCGGAAAAAATTACAGGAAACCGGATAAACATTTATTGTAATTTAAATTTGTATAGTGAATGTAGAAAAGTAAATATTATCTAGTCGTAATATGCCAAGCAATAAATACAAGTTCGCGTTCATAAAATAAATAGGATGGGTGGAGTTGTTCATTCCTTTAGTAAAAAACTGTAATTGGTACTGACTTGATATTATATAATACACTGGATAACGTGTCGTGAAGTTGCAAATATTAGGATAGTAGGAAAAAAGTTATAAGAGCTGGAAGTTGTGCATATTTATTCAAGCATTGTCGAACTTAACCGTTAAACTGGATGGGTAATTGCCATTCTCGTTAAAAAAAACTTGATATTTTTGAAACTAATTACGGACTCCAACTAATATCGAAATCTATGGTGGAATTTAAAAAGTGAAGAAGCCACGTAAGTTGACCAAATATTTCTCAAGATCTAATTTTTAATTTTCTTTGTTTATGTATAAAAGGCTGGATTGATAGTTATGTTGTTGATCTCTCGAGAAATTTTGTTGTGATACAATTTTCTAAGGATGCGGAATATACAGCTCGTATGACTTTTTTTTTGGTCTATGGCAAATGAGTGATTAATGTGTACGATTCGTTCTTCCGTTGGTTTGAACTTTTCAATTCAAAGCTAGAGATTACATATTAATATTTTTATTTTATAAGGAGTTAGAATACCATGGGTTTTTCCCGAAGGAAAAACCCATGGTATTCTCTCCCCATGAAATAAATGTGTAATTCGTTACCTATAATTAATAATGTTCGCATATGATTTTGATCATGCGACAGGGAAATAAGCAAACGAAGTTTCCCGGTCACGTGATCATCAAAAGCTTAGCATATACTTCTTTGCCCTAATCGTGATCATGACGTAAATGTCAAAATCGAACAGAACTTAATGAGTTATGGTTTAGCAATCTATTTATTCTTATAACATTCTAAAAGTTTTTAACCCATTATATCATGACAGATAAAGACCGTTTTATCAAATCATCAAATGAGACTTAAATATTTTTATTTTATTTATATTCATGATCATTGTTTAGATTGTTTAGTTAATTAATTTTCTCGTCATTTTTTTTTATAACGTATTTAAGTAAAATTTAATTAATCATAAAACAACAAGCTTAATTTTATTATTAATTTGGTTATATTTCGATTTCTTTAAAAATAGTGCCATCGAAACAAATTAATGTACATTAATAATCTTACATAATAATCTTACTTATAAATCATGGTCATCTCTCAAAAGGAACCCATCCAATGAAACCGGTCATATTTTTTTTAAAAAATTGTAATCATTCTGTAATTACCCCGGATTACATACATATTTGACAAAGAGGCATCGTCACATTTTGCTAGTTCTGACTCTTGTAATAGATGTTGCAATATCAAACATGTAAGGGCAAAAAAAAAAAAAAATTGAAATAAAAATTACCACGTGAACACTTATTTCTTGTTTTTGAAAAAATTTACTCGCGACTCCATTTTTGTTTTTCAATTGATGTTCCCTAAATATATAATAAAAAAAACTTGTTTGACAATAAGTTCATGTCAATAAAAAATTTGATGTTCAAATTACACACGGAAACCGGATCTTCGACAAACCAAGTTGGGAAACGGGGTTATCAAAAATTTGACTATCGGATTTCGAGATATATCGAATTTCTTGACTATGGACCGGTTTATCGACTAAATAAACAGGTTAAATTGTTAAAATTGAAAATCCTATCACGGATCAGTCAAAATTCTACGATTCCAAATTTCGTTAAACCATAACGAAAAATAATTCATACCTTTAAAAATTAAGATCTCATTTTTTAAAGGTAGAAAATTCGAACCTCGCGAGAAGACTTGCAACACGTAACAATAAAAAAATATATATAAAGTATTCGTCTAAAATGCTAAAATATCTGAAACTCTGAAGGATTTTTTTTATTCACGCTGCAATTCTATCAATTCTATAACGTAAAAAAAAAAAGTTCCAACTAAAATTAATTCAATTCATGACAAAAATAAAATGTAAAATGATCATGATAATGAAAAAATACGTATTATATTTGGTATTAATAATTTACATTTCTCTCTCTCTTATTTGAGGTCATGTAATATACCGATCGGTCGATCCCCAGAGACAGTGATCTTTAGGAATTAATGCAAGAAAAAAAAAAGACGTTTGCTGAAACTGTCAAATCTATTTTTAGTTCAAGTCAAAGAAACATTCATAAAACAATACCCAATTTCATAGTTATTGTCATCCCGACAAAGAAGGGAACGCGTATATCATTCGAAATACGATGTGCAAAAATGTGCGGATGCACATGATTTTAGCTTCCCGCACATCTTTAAAAATTTTGTGCACATTTCACAGATTCCTCACATGATTTTTAAAGGTCCCGCATGATAACAAAATTCGAACAATAGTATAGTGATGAATAGCTATAGGTCACAAAAAAATAACAATTGGTATGGAAAATGTTTCTTTTAGAGAAGAATGAGAGCAATAAAAATTTCGCACGTGAGAAAAGGTCGGTGCAGGAAAAAAGTAAAGAAAGCACAACGTGAAAGCCTTTGCGTGCATTACTTATTGTTAGTTATTGAAGACAACACTCGATATTTTACGTAATTGTACAGTATCATCATCAAAGCGCTCGGATCAGTTGTAACTTAAAACAATTAATGAGATTAAAAATTTCTTTGTAAATAACAAAATTAAAAAATGTTTATTGTTCGCGTGCTATTAATTTCATGAAATGAAACAAAAAAAGCGAAACATTATCTGTGTAATCTCAATCTAAATTTAAAATGCACGTCTTATTAAAACCGGTTTTTGTTTTGGGAAAAAAATTTTCTTTGTTTATAAAAATAATATCTCCAAAAAAAAAAAAAAAAAATTTAACATGACGAATTCATCACGTCTAGGTTGAAATTGATTTTCTTTTTACAATAAATTTTCTTTTCGGTTTATTTACAAAAAGAAACAAGTTTTTAGAGTTTATTTTCCGTTTTTTTAAAAAAAAAAAAATTTTTTTCAATGTTTTATTTTTTTACCATTATTATTTCAATTTTACCAGTTTTATTCAATATTTAAACATATACGATTATTATTTATTATAAAGGCTTATTTAGTAAAACTATTTCATTAATGTATACCCATGTACAGACATGATCATTATTATAAAAAAGCATTACACATACACACAAAAAAAAAGGTATGATTGTGGGAAGATTTTATTTTGACTTCTTTGATATCTACATTAAGTTCCGGGAAAAATTGGGATTGGATTTAGATTTTGTTTTTCCCTCTTATTGAAATCTCGATGAAATTTCATTTTATCAGCAGGGAATTCAAGATGACAAATCTCTTACTCTTTCTTACACTTTCATTCTTTTCCTTTTTTTTTTTTTTTTTTTTTTTTTTTTTTTTTCCTGGGTAACAACAAAAAGGCTTTTAAATTTCCTTCTATCAATGTCCAAAACTTTAAATCCAATTTAATCCAAAACTTGTTATAAAATTTCATTTCATTCAACCATTGAACGCCTTCCCAATCAAATCATTGAAGATTACACAATGGAATTCCAAATTAGAAAAATGGCTTAATTAAGAGGTTCAAATAATTTAACAATTTTTAATTCCAACTACTCTAAATTAGTAAATTATGATTGATCCGATCGTCCGCCGCCATTAATTTATACCACCTATCTTTTATTTTCCAACCTTCTAACCTAATTTTTCTCACACTTATTTAATTAGATGATTTGCGATATTTATTTATTTTATTTTATTTTTCTTTGTAACCTAACGATTTATGTAAATTTTAAATGTAAAATTCAAAGATTTACTATCCATGTGATACCACATATACCTAAAATAATATGTATTTAATTTAGATAAAACATCAAAAAATTAAAAAAAAATTAAACCTACTAATTTAATTAAGTGAACGAGTTTATTTTTTCACACGACGAGCAATTTTTGATTAGATAAGAGATAACATAAATTTAGGATTATAGATGGATTGTTTTATGACGAAATTTTACCACCTTTCCACTTTTTTTTTATTCTGTTCCGGACTCTTTTCACACACAATTGCATTCTCATTCATTGATACAACGATACTGCAAAAAAAAAAAAATTGATGTAAAAATAGACATTTCAGGGAAAAATATTTATATGCATTATTAACAGGTGAATAAAAATTAAATCTGGTTTAGCATGAAATGTAAGAGTTTGAAATTTTTGTTAACAATACCCAGCCAAAAATAAAATAAACACGAGACTTTTTGACAATGAATTTACTAGTCGAATTGAAACAACAATTGATCCTACACAATGAACCTCCCTTCCCCTTTCCTTTTGCAAATTTCATCTCTCCATTATTCATGAAAAAAAAAAATGATGTAAAAAAAAAAAATAAAAAACAAAACATAAACAATGATTTACTGCGAGTTTGTTGTTGATGCAAGGCCTCTCTAGGGTCTTGTCCTTTTTTTTTTTTTTTTTTTTTTTTAAACTGATTGTTCAAACATTCTTAATTATCACTTTTATTGTTTTCGGCTGATTTCAAAACAATGTGATAGATTCAAATGACAAATTGTTTAAACTGTAATGATTTGCTCCATACAACATTTTCGCATGCATGAGTTATACAAAACATATGCTGTGTTCCTGTCGTTATAACTTGATTTCCCTATGCAATGGACGACTGTATATGGACATATTGTGAGAAGATTTGGGCAAATTTCCACGGAGACGTGCATTGCCGATTCTTACCACCTTTATGTATTGCACCTTTTATCTACCTTTTATCCGAATCAAAAGCAAGTTTACCCCACAAAGGGAAATAAAAAATAAATGATTAAAGAGAAGTGTGTGTGTTTTTTTATATAGTCAGGACCTTGTACAGATTCCCAATTTTTCCTTGAAACAGTAAGGTACCTTATGCATGCAAAATACTATTTTCTCATCATACATGAACATTGAGTCAATTATCCGCAGCGATCAGCTCCCTGTATCATTTGAATTACATTTCCAAAAACAATAGGTTCAATGAGTATCATTCAACGAAAATCCCACATTTTTTGTTAATTTTTTTTTACCAAATTATATGATCTGGTTTAAATTACAAATTAAAGGATTTGTTGTTAATCATCATATGAAAATTGTGAGTAATGGCTTATGAAAATACACTGAAATGGATGAAGCAAGCTAACTAGATTTTTTAGTTATAATAATTATAATAAGGGACACACAAAAAAAAATAAACTGGTCAACCTTATGATAAAATAATAAACAATTGGTATCCATCAATTAACGCGTAAATCTCTCTCCCCCTCCTCCCTTTTTTTAAGGGGATCAGATAACAATTTGGTAAGGTTCAAAAAGGTATGACCCGCTCAAAGAGATGTAGATAGATTTTTTAAAGATATCATATGAATTTAATTGAAATTTGTAATTAAGGAAGTTAGGCAATTCAGGGCGGAAATGAATTTCCACATCCAATATAACGTAGACGATATACGTAATTACTATATCGTAATACGTGATGTTCTCGAAAGTTTTTATTTTTCTGAAACCAAATTTTGAAACTGTATGTGTAGATTCGTAAAAGGCGGTAAAAAAAAAATCATAAATTAATTATGATCTAATAAAAAAAAATAAAGCTGCATGTGATACAAACAGAAATTATCAAACAATCCCCCTCATGATTTTTTGGTTAATATTTTATTTTTTTGCTTCTTTAATTCTTTTTTACTTTGTTCTCCAAAAAAGAGCTATTTGGAATAACCTAAATTTCCAACTAATAGTTACACGGTATGAAATTAAAACTTTGGTTTCCATATCACATGAAAAAACAGTTATTTCAAAATGAAGGAAACGGGAAAGACAAGTTGCAAATGAAACTTACGAGGGTATGATTATCATAAGGTTTTGAATCGATGGTTGGTTAGTTTGTCACCTATTTTTTTTCCATTTCGAGTAAAACTCCATGTAAAAAGAACCAAAGACAGTTCAGTTCCCTTGATATCATTTAATGTGATGATATAGATTTTTCAAAAAATTTTACTTTAAAAGATTGAATTCATATCTCAAACAATTATTTATGCAATGGGGGTTCCTCTTATCAGAGTAATCTTTATCAAAGGTCGTGATATTTAAGACGTAAAAGTATTCACAGAAATCTCCGGTTCTATCCCGCATATAATAATACTTGTACATTATAATGCTGAGCCATTTGATTGTCGCACGAAATGGCGTTACTTTAAATGTTTATTGATGAAAATAAATAAAAAAAAAAATTAAATATGTACAGTTTAAAATATAATATAATAAATAATTGCAAAAAAATGCACCCTCTCTTACATATATAAAGAATCAGAGACGAGATGAAGTTTTTTTAAAAAAAAAATAAAAATCCAAAATCCAAAAAATAAAAAATAAAAAAATAAAAATTTGAAAAAACTCACCTAAAACAATATAATATATATATATATTTTAATAAAAAAATATATATATTTTTTTCCTTCTCAAAATAATTAAAAACAAAACCTTTAATATTTCTATATATAATTCACAAAAAAATGGCACCAACAAAAACAATCAATGTTAACTTGGCAAGGACAAATCAAGTCGTTGACGTTGTAAGGCAACTACCAAATGACCCGACCTATAAACCCGAAGACGTCGTACACGTATCTCTTTCAATGTCACCAAAGGCCAAAATTGAAATTGCTTCCATCGTAGGAATAATCCAATATTGTTGCGATGTTGTCATATCGAAAGTTGTTCACGACGTTGTATTCGACTTTTCGCGCATTATACTTCCCTTCACTTGGCCAAATAAGACCATACGCGATATTCTCTTTTCGAAACCCAATGATCCAGTTGCGATTGAATTGGTTAGCAAGGACTGTCGTTTAACAGTTTTCAAAAAGAATGACCATAAACGTAGAGACGACTGGTATGACCACGTCAAGAACTGGAGGAAGGATTTGCCACAGCGTTTCCATTTAATGTTGAACGAATTGGTCGAGAACGTGTCAGCTCATGCTCAACTTGAAGAATCGAGGTTCGTCTTTACGGTTGGTTTGTTGTTTAGCGCAAAAAAGGTAAGGACTTATTCATTCACAATGTGAACGTCACGTGTTGATTATCCATTTCACTTTTTAATTCTTGCCGGAATTAAATAAAATGCGGGCTACATAATTTAACGTCGTTTCCTTCTCTCCTCTCTCAGCAGCTCTTATATAGCATCGCTGATTGTGGCGTTGGTCTTAAAGGATCACTTAAACAAGCGATCGTATCCGAAGCGAAACAAGTTTCCACTCGTGCCTGCGCATTAAATTTGACTCGCCCTCAATTCACTTCAAAAGGTATCGAACGAGGTCATCAAGGCGTTGGACTTTTCATCACTTCAGAATTATCACAAATGAACAAAGGTTATCTCGAAATTCTCTCTGGAACTCAAGAATACGAACAAACTGGTAAGATATCAATCCGGTTTCCTTTTTTTTCCTTTTCCAAATTAAGTATGCTAAAAAGATCATTTGTCGTAAAATAGATAATACAGTCGTACGTATTCGTGGCGTTGCCGAATGGAGAGGTACAATGGTTCACGGGGCAATCAACCTCGATAAAGAATTTAATTACCGTCAAGCGATGAGATTATTTGCCGATCCTTCCAAGCTTTGCAAAGACCGTTTCCTGGTCGCCAATCTTCATTTGAACGTTTATGGTCAACGATCCTTAAGAACAAGGGAACTTTGTGAGGAAATCATCCACGATCTCGAACTTGCTGTTGAACGTTCACCAAAAATCATTTTGGATTTCACTGATATTGATGAAATCAGTCAAGCATTCCGAGGCTTCTTACGACAATTTGTCGTCAATAACTCTAAAGTAAAAATCATGATCATGGTACCTCCGACAGCAGATGAAGATTTGAAAGAAGATTTGCAAGAGTTGGTCGAACTTGCCTCTCAAAATTTAATTGAAGAATAAAAAGATTTTTTTTTTAAAAAGAAAAAGGACCAATTAAAAAAAATTATATACATATTTATTTCATCATCAAAAAAAAAAAAAAAATCTTCAAAAAAAATATTTCTTCATTGCACTGTACACATTTGCAAAAAAAATAGACTTGTTTTACTTTATATATTTTAGTTGTTTTTAGATAGTAGTATGTAAAAAATCTCGTTTTTTTTTTTTTAAAAAAAAAAAAGAACAAACGTGTCTCTATGGGGTACAGCGAACGCTTATAATTTATTTTATTTTTTCCCTAGAAATGGCGGGAGAGGAGAGATTTTTGAGGAAAGATTGTAGGGAGTGAATATTTTTTTTTTTTATAGATTGCGGGGTAAAAAAAAAATTTTTTTTTTTTTTTTAGAGTAATTAATTTTTTTTATTTGCATACAAATTTCATTTTTTTTTTCTCTCAAAAATCCATATTATCTAGATTTTTTTCATATCACAAAAAAAATTACTTTAGTATATATTATTATTATTATTCTTACTATTATATATATATTATATTATATTTTCCCTTTACACACATTCAAAAAAAAATTCCTTTTAACCACATTTTAAAATTTTTTTCACATTCTTTTTTTTTTTTTGTATTTAAAAAAAATTTTATAGAATTAAAAAAAAAAGTTTCGTATATAAAAAAAAATTATAATTTTTTTAATGTGATTAATAAATTTGACGAAAAATATTTTCAACCAGCATTAAGTATAATTATATCGTAAATATCGTAAATTATTTAATATTAATCACATGATTTTAGGACCCTACCCCTAATACTAAATCTAATCCTAACCTAGTGTCAAGCTATGTAAAATGTTTCACCACAAAAATTTCTTATGTTATTTTGGCCAGCATTATTGAACTCACCACGAATATATAGCGATAGTGAATATGGAGACTGTGGAATGAAATTTTTGTGGTGAACCAAGTTATATATGATTACTCGCTTCGAATATTTTATTCGTCATTTATGTATTAGGAAAAAAACCAACTTTTAAAAAACGATTATATCAAATAAATCAACTTTAATAGTTCTAAGACAAACTTAAATAAAAAATAAAAAAAAAATCGTGCTATATTTATGATATACGACCAGAGTATATATATATATAATTTTTTTTTTTTTGCTGATGGAAATAATTACAGAGTGTATATATATATATATATTTCCAGAAAAAAGATAAAGTCAATAGAAAATTTCTGATAAAATAATAATAATAATAAAAGATATACAGAGAAAAGAAGAAAAGAAAAAAAAATATGTATATATGTTATGTATATGTATATATAAGAATTCGGTATATAATATATATATTCCTAGTATAATAATATAATAATAATATGTAATGACTTATATATATAAAAACAGAGTAAAATAAACTACAAAAAAAAAAATTTTTTTAAAAAAAAAGCCAATGCAAAAATATATATAGAATAATAATAATAATAATAATAATAGTAGTAGTAATAATAGTATAGAATGTGTTTCTTTAAACACTAATAATCATAATAATAAACCCACCCATAAAAGCACAAACAAGTTTGTGCAAGTCCAATAAAATATCCATTCTTTAAATAATTATGTAAGCGAATTCTCTTCATTCTAAAAACTTCTCGTCACCTAATCAAACAAATTGTGAAAAAATATTAATTACACCTCTACTTATCATAACATTTAATAATAATCGATCCTCTTGAAAAAAAAAGCAATCAAAAACAATAATCTGGCGATAATTCTTTTTCTAATTTTCACGTGTCTTATTCGTTCCATTGACATTTTTGATATTGGAGTTTGCAGCATTTCCGCTTCCATTGGTTGTCATACGAGAGACCGAGATCGATCCTGACAGACCGGAAGAATCTGAAGCCGTACCCGAATTTGAACCTGTAGTCGATGAAGAATGGCAAGAATCAGAAGATGAGGATCTAGATGCATTGCCGTGTCCATGACTCGGATTTTGGTTATTATTTTGTTGTTGATTATTATAATTATTAAGACTATGATTTGGATGATGCTGACCATGGTGATTATTGTTATGAGTATAAAGCCCATTGTTAACCACGACCCAACTACTCCTCCTAGAAAGCTCAGTAGATGGAGTACCATGAGGGGTCGTTGATACTCCATTTGTATGGATATGACTGTGTACATGACCGTTCACCATCGAACTCTGTTTTCCTGACGATGACGATGTTGGCACCGTGGAGATTGATAATGACGATGATCCATTGGTCATTGCTAAATTGGAACTAGGGTTTGAACTTCCATTATTACTGCCTGATAAACTACTTTCACTCCAAGCAGGAACAGAACCACGTCGAGATAAGCCAGGACCCAAATTTTCAGGAGGAATTGTTGACACGGGAGAAGGTATGCCACCGCCAAACACGTTTAAATGACGAGGAAGTGGCGGAAGGGCAAGGGAAGCTCTACGTGCATAACCTAAAGCGGCAGCGGCAGCCGTATGAGCAACATTACTGATGGTGGCAGCATTAAAAGGCATTGACGGAAGTGAAGGAGGCAGGGTGGTCACAGGAGTTGCGGGTAAAGACTGTGTAGACGGAGCTTGGTAAGCCGAATAATGATATGAAGGAGGAGGAGGATATTGAAAAGGATTTGAAGGAGAATCATGAGACATACGCCGCATAAGGTTTGTTATATTATGAGTTGGAGATGGAGTTGGTAAGGTATTATTACTATTATTAGGCGACGGTTGTGAACCATTCCTATTACCATTTATCGACTTTGAATTTGTTATGGCTAATGCAGAAGTCGCGGTGATTGATGGACCAGATGGATATGGTGGAGGTGCTGCAGCTCGATAAGCATGATCCTCCGGATTTATTGGTTTTGGTGATGAATGTCTTGGATGATGGTATTGTTGCAAATCATCTGACAAGTCACCACTTCTTGCGCGATTAAGTAATGAACCGCTACTGTTTGCACGTTTTATCGTGGAACCTAAACTCATTGACCTATGATGTTGTGATTGATGATGAGGATGAGGGTATGGTGGTTTTAAATGATGGTATACAGGATGAGCATTAAACACATTCGTTGAAGAAAACGGAGTGTGCATAGGGGAATTGTTAATAGAATTTGAGTGATTTCCATTTGGCGCTGTAACTATTGAAGGTGATGAACCAGGTAATGGAGGAGGTGGAGTTTTTGATAAATGTGTTGAATATTGTTGTGGAGATGACGTTAATGATGATTGATATGTTGAGGTAATGTTCAATGATTTTGTCGAAGAAAAACTACTATCTCGACGATGCGAACGAATAATATGATGATTATTTTCTACTTGATCTTCTTCTTTCATTGCTTTTGGTCCACCACCCTTGCTTGTTGTATCATCAGTAGAGGGGAATTTACGTGACCTTTTACTTAAATTCTTTTCAAGGTTATGACCTGAATCCCACCTGGGAAATCGATTATCGTATAAGTTCCCACCTTGTCTCATTTCTTCCGATACCCAATGCTTGAGTAATTGATCACCGTATCTCTGCAATTCTTCTACTGTAATTGCTAAGCGAAAGTCGTTCAATATAAGAAATTCTAACTCCAGTTGATTTAACTCCGATACTGGCAATCCTCCCACCTATTTATTGGGCAAAAAAAAAGAAAAGAAAGGACAGGAGAGGAAAAGAGAAGTAATAGACATCCAAAAAAGGAATCCAGAACAAAAAAAAAATTATTTTATATTAATCCAACCATTTCTCTGAAATAATTTCAAAAAAGATAAAAACATAAAAATAAAAACAAAAATAAATAAACTAGAAATAATTAGTATTTTTTGATTAATAAAAAAAAATATATAAATAAAAATAAATAAAGCAAACGAATTTAACATATATACATATATCTATCTATAAAACATTTAAAAAAAATAATTAAATACTTCTAATTCAAATGAATTCCGATAATTGATTTTTTTAATAAACATTTTTTTGATACCCTCGAACCGTATAATAAAAATAAATAAAAAAAGTGTTTCTCAAATTGGCCAATTTCAAAGAAAGAATTTGAATTCAATTGAAGGATAAATCTTTTTTATAATTCACATTAGCCCACATCCTTGATTTATCCAGCAATTCTATTTATAAAATTAATAGGGAAGAAAAAAAATCTTTTTTTTCACCCAATTATTTCATTGCTACAAAAAATTCATATTGCATCCTTGAAATTTTTTTTTGAAAAGAATAAAATGTTCCGTAATAAACCTGCTTATCATACCTTTGCATATCTTGAATTTGTGAAGAATACGTCCGAAAAAAACTTGGAAGAAACCATAATGCCAGCGATTATCAGACGATGAATGTTAAAAGAATCTATAGAGAAAGGTTTTCCAGTTGTTGCTATGGCATTCTTTGACATACGATCAAAATAAACCAGTAAAGATAGGAAACATTCATTTGTTGTAGGACAATATTTCAGTATCCTTGAAAGATAAGAATGTATATCTATTGAAGGGACCGAACGAGCGTGAAAACGCGTGAAAGATGGTGCAGAAGCTACTGAAACGGCCGGAGGAGGAGTCTCGACGTGATTTATACCGTGAGACTTTAATTGGTCGTTAGCATTTGTAATTTTTTCCAGAAGTGAAGCAAGCATCTTCAGAGTATCTGTCACGGGAAAATTTGCTAAATCCAGTGTGTGCATCATGAATGCAGTTGCTTTATTTTATTCTCTTTTAAAGAAAAAGACGGTAGTCTTTGTGAATATAGATTAATAATATTTAACACCAAGAAATAAATAAAAAGAGATGTAATTCAAAGCTTTTATATTTGTATATTTTAGGAAAAAAAAAAAAAAAAAAATTTTTTTGAATACAAAGTCAAAAAGAACTGTTGGGTGAGAAAAGTAAATCTGAGCTAAAGGTATTATTGTATTTGGAGTATAAAGTGGTACAAGGGAGCAAGGAAAGCAAAAAACTAGCAATCACAGCCAACCAACCAGCATATACAATGAACAGGAGTCGATGACATTAACACAGACTTTACCAAGTATATAAAAAAAGCAGTATTAAAACAAGGTTTATTATGAAGTTGTACGATAGAAACTTTTGAAGGACGCCACACATGATTAGAATTAAAAATATGAAGTAGCACAGTTACACGAGATTATTTTTGGGTGGAGGGTTTTTTAGAATCTGGAATGCCACTAATCTTTCATATTAATATTATGATATGATATTGAATTCCCCAAATCAAAAAGGTAATTTACACATAATATTCTCTCTGCATCTCTATCATGATTTGCAAAAACCTACCCTAGATATTTATCCTTGTATTTATGAATTAAAAAAATAAACAAATACCCAACAACAAATAAAGTAATTACCTAAATTTCGAACATAATTTCGACGACGACCTTCTAGGTTATCAGCTTGGTTGCACATCTCCACAAATTTTTACCTTAATTTTATTTTATGTATTCTTTTTGTGGAGTTCGCTCCTTATTTGTCATGATCCTTCTGCTCAATCCTTCCAAACGATTTTCGGAAATTCTTTTTAACTTTGTTAATCCCGTGTAAATGATGAATAATATCAAATCACGAGACTATATTTAATAGAACATGAGACATAAAATCACGCAAATCTTTTTTGATATTTTTAGATTGAATTTCTTGTTCACGCTTTTCCTTTATCAATTATGGTTTCGCCAAAATTGATTACAGATAAAGCACTTAACACAAAAAAAATATGCTAAAGCGTATGTTATTACTATTTATAGTGCTCATCTGTCCGTAATACAGAATTTTAATAACTTTTGCTGCACACACAAGATCTAATTTGGTGTAAATGAAAAGTTGTGTAAATATTTAGTAAAAAAAAGTTTTAATTTGGTCACAAAAAAAAAAGTTATTATATTTAAATTAATAATTTATTATGTAAACCATTTAGGTTGGTTTTTTTTAAAACATAATCTTGGAGCAACACTCTTCCCGGAATTATAATGATCACGTGTCAACAAGCATTGCAATTCATTGACATCCATTGGCTCAGAATAACAAAGAATTCTTTGCCGCATAATTTTTCACAGTTTTCCAAAAACAGTATTTATGTTTACAAAAAACTATCAAAATGTTTCAAATAATGCATGAAAAAATGCATTTATTTATTTTTTGAGGCCCTTTATAAAGAATGCAAAACGTGTCAATTTGAAATAACAAATGAGCATTAATTACCCTAATCAAAGCCATTAATTTTATTGTTGACCAACAAAATTAACTTGTTTCAGCAATAAATTAATAAGCGGCATTATTTAATTTCAATGATTTGTGCTTATATAAATAAATGGGTATGTTTCGACTTGCAAAAAAAAAAATATTGTTTCATTCTTGATTCTACCCTCTCATATATTAAAAACATAATCATCTTTTTTCTTTCCTCGAATAATAAATGACGTTCAAAAAGAAGGTCGTCAAGGAAATCCCAGGATTTGAATATATTCATTCGGATATTGTATTAATACCAGGATTTCGAGGTTCAAAATTAGTAAATGAAAAAACCAAAAAAACGGGATGGATATCGTTATGTACACCATTTTTGCCTCATAGTAAAGAATCAATAGACTTACCCTTAAACATAACTAAACATGAACATGATAGATTGGTTCCAGATGGAATCATACAAAAAATTGCATGGCAAAAATTTTATGAGAATTTGGTTAGTTATCTGGATGATTTATCTAAATCTCGTGAAAAAAAATTGAAAAAAGAAGAAAAGAAATTAAACAATAAATTAAAACAAGAATCTTCCTCAGCTTTACAAGAAAATGTGCAGGGTGATTCCTCTTCTTCCTCTTCTTCATCATCTTTAAATTCTTCTAGTACAACATCTTCAACTAGCATTAATGGTACATTTATTCATCAACCATTTAAATTACATAAATTTTCATATGATTGGAGACGTACAAACGAATCTTCAACTGAGATTTTCATTGAATTCCTTCAAAATATTTACAACAATAATGGAAATAAAAAAATTTATATTATCGCTCACTCAAATGGTGGTTTAATAAGTCTTTCAGCATTGCATCAACATCCTCATTTAATCGGGGGTATAATATTTGCAGGTACCCCTTTTGGTGGAGCTCCTGGTATATTTGGTAATTTAAGGCATGGAATTTCATTGTTATTTAACAAAAAATTTCAGGATGATGCTGCGCATTTTGCTTTACGTACCGTATTTTCTTTTATGCCACCTAAATTAGACGCATTTAAAGATCAAAATGATTCAACAAAATATGCTAATATTGATTATTTTGATATCGAAGAATGGAAAAATAGCGATTGGTCATTTGTCATTAATGAAGATAATCCAAGGTATAATGAATTGGGTACCAGGCAAGAGCGTATCGATTATCTTCAAAGAACTTTAGAAGCCGCGAAAAGATTTCACTTGACTTTAGAAAAACCTGAAAATTTTGAATATCCTCCATTATGTACTTTAGTTAGCGAGAATCATCATACTAATGGTGGTTATCCGATGGGTAAATTAGATGATGGTAGACATTCTATACATTTTGATAAAGTTATCGCTGCTAACGGTGATGGTGCTGTTCCTTTTGAAAGAACCAAATTACCTCAAGGGATACCTTTTGAAGTTGTTTACACCGATAATTCTCATGGTTCTTTATTAGAAGATTTAGATGCAGTTGGAAAAGCTTTACAAACAATCTTTAATAAACATTGAAAAAAAAAAAAAATTTTTAAAATAGAATAATTTAAATAAATTGACCTTTTAACTTTTACTATATATATTTTTTTATCCATAAAAATAAAAAAATTAAATTAATGTAAATTTTTAATCTATTTTGTAATTAACTAACTTTTATGAATAAAGTCGATTTCGGAAGTTACCGTTTAACGTTAAGGATTTACTAGCCAAATTAGGTTCTTTGAAAAAAAAAAAGATGTAGTTATGAGCATGTATCATTTATTATACTAGAAAATCATAGTTAATTATATTTAGTTGGATATTTTAGAATATTTCTATTTATAACCGGCTGATGATAATTACTTATAGCAACCTAATATAGTAATGACAAAAAATTCCAAGTTCCAAAATAATAGAAGCTGGTGAAAATATTTTTCAACTATATCAAGTGATCAGTGATCATCGTCTATAATTTATTTAATTAATTAATTCATTTATATTATGATTATGTATTTAGGATAATCAAAAACTTTTTTAACACCATATTTTATAATATTATTTTTTATATTTGATTAATTAAAAAATAAAATATTTAAATATATTATAATTTTTGTTAAAATATCTAAATTTTATATAATTTAATATATAATTGATTATATTAAAATATATTTACATTTTAAAAAAAGTTAATGTTAAATCTGAATTTATTTTTACTAAAAAAAATCATATTTAATGTAACATAAAATAAAATTTTTTTTATATATTTCCTTTATATCTATTACAAAGTATTTATATTTACATATATAAATATTACTAGGCAATAGGAATTGTTACTAAGTCCAAAGCAAATGTAACATAAATAATCAATCATGTATTAGTTAAATTATTAAGCAGGAAGAATGCGAACATTTGAGTCAATAGCATCTAGAATTATATAGTCCTTTGCTATCTGAACTAATAAAGCAAAAAAAGTAATCTACAAAAAAATAATTTTACTTTATATAAATTAAATATGATATTTTTAGTAATATAATATAAATAAGATTGCCTCATTAAACTTATTTTAAATTTTTCAAATATTTAACCTTAGTTTTGCTATTTTATTATCAGATTTTGATATAGTTTTATCATTTTTATATTTTACTATTTAGAAATATAATCAAATCTCTTAGTTTTATCTAATAACTTTAATAAATAAGATTTTTTATAATAGTGGGATATTATGCTTTAATATAATTATTAGGGTTTTGCAATTCGATTTGATATTTGATATTTGATTTGATCAAATTTAAATCAAAAAATGATTTATTTGATCAAATCCAAATTAATCTTTGATTCAATTCGATCAAATTTAAATCAAGTATTCAAATATTTGATTTGATTCAAATCAATAGTAAAGTCATCTGCAAAGCTTCAGGAGTGATTCTTACTAAGAAAACTATAGTAAAAAGTGCCACTGCAGCTTCAAAAATGCCTTTTTTACTAAGAAAAATATAGTAAAAAGTGCCTTCACAGCTTCAGAGACATTATTTTACTTAGAAAACATAGTAAAAAATGCCTCCGCAGTTTCGGAAACGCTATTTTATTAAGAAAACATAGTAAAAAATGCCTCTGCAGCTTTGAAGATGCTATTTTACTAAGAAAATATAGTAAAAATGCCTTCGTAGCTTCAAAGACGTTTTTTACTAAGAAATATAGTAAAAAACGCCTCCACAGCTTCAGAAACGTTTTTTTACTAAGAACTCTATAAAAAAATGCTTTCGCAGCTTCAAAAATGATTTTTTTACTAAAAAACCTAGTAAAAAAACGTCTTTGCAGCTTCGGAAATGATTTTTTTTACTAAAAAATCTAGTAAAAAACGCCTTTGCAGCTTCGAAAACGTTTTTTAATAATAAAATGGTTACGAAGCTGAGATGGCGATTATTACTAAGTTTTCTTAGTAAAACTGAAGCTGCGATAGTAGTTATTACTAAATTTTCTTAGTAAACTGAAGCCGCGATAGTGGTTATTATTAAATTTTCTTAGTAAAACTGAGACTGCTGAGTTATTTTACTAAGTTTAATAGTAAAAATTCAACTGTTACTAAACTTACTTTGTAAAAGCTATTTTTGAAATTTTTTAGTGCAATTACTAATAATTTTCTTAATTAAACTTTTATAATAACTTTATTTTAATATATCATTATAAAAATTAAAAAATATTTTTATATTCGATTCGATTCGATTCAATCAAATATTTGATTTGATTTGATTTGATTTGACAAATATTTGATTTAATTTGATTTGATTCAATCAAATTCAAATTAATTCAAATTGATTCAATCAAATATTTGAGTTCAATTCGATTCGATTTGATTTGATTTGAAAAAATCAAATCAAATTTAAATTGCTTAAATATTTGATTCGATTTGATTTAAAGGAATCCTAATAATTATGTTAAAGCGTAGTATCTCACTTAGACTAAATCATGTAAGTACTTACATAATCTGAATACTATGTTATAATCTAATAAGTAATTTTATAATCTGAATACCACGCTATAATCTAATAGCTATGATCTAATTATCACACTTTAATCTGAATACATCTAGCTATCTATTTATATCTTTTCTGCCATTCATGCTTTTTTTATATATGATTTTATTATCACGCTATAATCTAAATATCACTCACTCTTTATTCTAAATACCATGCTTTTCTTCTTATTTCTGAGTTATTTATGTACCAAATTTTATATTGGGATTACTAGCCTTTTGTAGCTATTTGAATACTTAGTTTTATATTAAGAATGCTGATCTACTATGTCTAGTTAGATATTAAATTCTATATTATGATACTTACCCTTTGCACCTGTTTGATTATCTGTTTAAATACCAAATTATGATAAAAAAAATTTGTGTTAGTGATGTAGTAAATTTGTGGTTAATTTAGCTGGCTCTATAGCATAATTCTGGCTGGTTTTTTAGGCATATGATTTGAGGATCCAATTTGATGCAGTAATAGCGTTCTGAAACTTTTTTGAAATTGTTATAAAACTATCATAGAACTGGTAAGGAGCTTGAGTAGTTCTATTATTTTACCACTTTTATGCTAGCTTAGAGCTGAGTTATTGCGTCTAAAATTCTTACTAAAATTATGGAATAATACTATCTGAAATTATCTATATTCTACTACGTCTTGAGTTCTGGATACTTTCTTATTCTTTCAAGTATTCTAATACTTCAAAAAATATCTTGGCAGGTCATCAGTCCTAGAATTAATTTTTTATTACCAAAAGCATTATCAAGAATAAGGCATATTATTCCTGCTATATAGTTAAGAAATATATATGCCAAAGTTTCTAAAATGAATTTAATATACTTTTAAGATTGAAGATTCTACCATTTTTATATAATTCTACAAAAGACTTAATCCTATACCCAAATATATACCATTGAGAATAAAGCCTTCTGACAATATTTTATATAATAGATTACACAGAAGACTTCACTTTAGATACATACCATTGAGTAGGATTTCGCAATTCAATTTGATATTTGAATATTTGATTTGATTTGATCAAATTCAAATTGATTCAAATTGATTCGATCAAATACTTGAGTTTAATTTAATTCAATTTGATTTGAAAAATCAAATCAAATTCAAATTGCTTAAATATTTGATTTGATTCGATTTTGAGAAACTCTACCATTGAGGATAAGTCTTCTTCCAATATTTATATAATAATTATGAAAAGGACTTATCCTCTAGATGTATACTATTTTGCCTTTTTTTTGCATTCAAGTACTTATCTAAAAATGAGGCTTATTCCAATATTATATATAATAATTCTGAAGTTGTTCTATATACCTAAATACATATTTAGGTGAAAGCTTTTGCCAATTTTTATATAATAATTATACCTGTGTATATATCTAGAAAAATATAGGCTTCTGCTATTTTTATATAATATAATTATATACTTACCTACACTTTTAGATATATATATGAGTACATATCCAGTTGACATATATGCCTAATAGTTGTGTATCCTTCTACTAATATTTTTGCGTATTTGCTTATATAAATATCATATACTTAAATATATACTAGTATTTGAGGTAGTCTTCTACCATTATTTATATAATAGATTACGCAGTAGACTACCCTTTGATCTATATTTTTTTGTATTCAGATATATACTAGCAATAGGGTAGTCTTCTTCTATCATAATATTCTATATAATAGAATATGGAAAAAACTACACATAATACTCATATCCAGATACATACTAATGATAGGATAGCCTTTTGCCATTATTTATATAATAGATTATGCAGAAGACTAGTTTAAATATCACTCACCTATTAAAAATGTATTTATTCACAATTTTTTTAACATCTTGCTATACGTCTCTTTTACACCTATCGAAAAAATTAATGCGTCAATGAAAGTACCTATGTCTGAGTACACATTACTAGTATTAGGGTAGTTTTATTTTATATAATATTTTTGAAGAAAACTACCCCAAATACCTATACCTAGATATATATTAGTTATAAAATAGTCTTCTTCTAATATTTATATAATAGAATACAGAGAAGACTACTTTTTCAGATATATATTTAGATGGCTTTTTTTTATGTTTACTAATTAACTTTACTATAATTTCTGCGGAAAATAAACTAACTATTTTCTTTAGAATTAGGATAAGCTTTTTTTCTGAAGAACTTTAATTGAAGGCTGAATTTATGAAAAAAACGTATATGTCCATTTCTTACAGATGTATAGCATCAAAGGAGTGTATCAATCAAAAAAAATTTTAAACATTTTCAATTTATATAAAGAAATATAATACTTTTCAAACTGACAACATGTATACCTCAACTACTTCTAATTAAACTGATCACATTAGATTTAGCCTAACACTCGCCTGCTATAACAATATCAAGTCTTTAAAAAATGATTATACTATCATCTAGAAATTTATAACATACATTATTATTATTATTTATTTTAAAACAGACAAAAGATCAATTAATAAAAGAATTTCATTAT